ACTAAGTTTATTTCAATGTTGACTTAATTTAGTTTATATTTGTTGTTATAAAGTTTACGTATATCGATTCCTTATTTTATTATTTTTTTCTTAAATTTTACATATATTGATTCATTATTGTTTTTTTTCCGTTGACTAATATTTGTGCATCCATACTTTGTATTAGTTTCCTTATGAATGTTTTATATTTGATTGAAATAGTTATTTATTTACATTCTTTTAATTTTTTATTAGATATCCGGATGCTACCATATGTATCCAACTTTTATTTGTTTTGCATTCATATTCCAATATTCGAATCCAGATTTATATGTGGCAAAAAAGAAATCAATGTCCAACCAACAAGTCTATCCGTTTGGCTACACTATATCTATTTGACCGTGTGTAGTTTTGAAGTTGATTAGAATAGAATATAAAAATAAATAATTGATAGCTCAATCTACTTGTAGTATTGCAAAACATGGACTGAGGTGGATAGATAGGGCGCAGAAGGGAAGGAAGCTATGCACTGCCGTGTGTATAGCATGATTTGACTTAGATTTGGATTGGACTTGATTTGACGTTGCACTGCCATGATTTGAAGGGAAGGGAAGGGCGCAGAAGGGAAGGGAGCTATGCACCGCCATGATTTGGGCCTTGTTTAGATTCCAAGTTTTTTCACTCTCTTTCTATCACATCAAATCTTTAGACACATGCATGGAGTATTAAATATAGATAAAAAATAACTAATTACACAGTTTGATTGTAAATTACGAGATGAATCTTTTGAGCCTAGTTAGGCCATGATTGGACAATAATTGTCAAATACAAACGAAAGTGCTACAGTGCCAAATACTGATTCCCAACCATCATCTAAACAAGCCCTTGAATTGAAGGGAAGGGAGCAGGGTTTGGATTGGACTTGATTTGACGTTGCATTGCCGTGTGTGCAGGCATGCATGCGGCAGGGGTACCCGGCGCTGCCGCGACACGGATCATGGGAGTGTTTGACTGCTGACTGAATAAGCTAAAATAATGTTATAGCTGGTTTGATGTAAAAAAAATACTGTTTTAACTGAAAAGATATTGTTCATGTGATTAGTGCTTGGCCGTGGAATCACGGTCACGAGCGCGGCTCGCCAGAGCCTGATGGATGTCTCACATCTGGGGGGCCAGTCCATTAACGACGTCTCCATTTCTGACTTGGAGCTACGTTAAAGAATCTGCAACATGGACGACGTGGATCAGTCAATTATGATGTTTTAGTTCAAAGATATTTTTTTAAAGTGTGATTTTTGAATTACTGAAGTAGTATTTATGTTTAAACTAGGTTTGTGTCGTTGTGTTACCACGATAACGAAAAAATCGATCGAATAAGACAGTATAGCATGAAAAAGCGTGATGTTAACATGGTTTTGGACTACTAGACACTACTATCTGCCTTATATATCTTAGCAATATAGTACTGTTTTGAGCCACATTGGAATATATGTAAGTATCATTTTTATGTAGCAATATGAAAGCAAACATTTAGAAGAACGCTAAAACACATAATTCAAGTACGTAGTTCAAATTCAAATTAAAGGAAGCAAGTTCAAATAATGATAATTAACCACGTTCACCATAACTCTGTCATTCAAATTGTGTTGTTTGTGGCTTGGCTAAGATATTATCATACAGTTGTAGGAATCATGATCATGTACTCCTGTTTGAGAGGGCCTCTCTTGGCTACAACTCCGACTCCATGATACTATTACTCCTATTTGGGAGAGCTTCTCTCGGTGTGGCGGTAGTGGAGCTCTAGATGGAAAGAGATTAAGAGTGTGAGCGCAAATCAGAGGGAGAAGGTTCTAGATCTGTTCAAGAGATGGGTTGGGTCGAGACAAAAAGAAACCCTAACATTTATTTTGCTGGCCCATACTTAACCTACCATACAAACACATCATGTTATTTCTTTACCTTCCCTGCTATGTTTGGTTTTTCTACACCATATTAGGTTTTTGTTGAAAATATGGCCCGCACCAAACCTAATGGTTGTTGTGGGATAAAAATGCTGACCCGAGTCCACGAATAGGACGAAGCTCCTTAGTGATTAGGGGTGCAAATGCACTCCTTCAAAAATTAAAAATTTATAATTAGGACTGAAATTTCATCATATATATATCCTCTATAACACAAGTCTATACACCCATAAGGCAAGCACATCTCTCTTTAGTTCACTCTAGGTTCGACACTGCTCCACAAGATGCATGGTTACTCTGTTAGGTCTGGTAAAGTGGCCTATATATAAGCGAGAGGAGCATATATGGAGGTGAGGATGGAGCTGCATTAGGTCTAGGTGATTAGTGCGTGTCTACATGTTTGACAGTTGACACACGCCAGGTTCTACTAGCTGACTAGCCTCTATGTGGCAGAAGTTAAATCATCGATGCGGCCAGCGTGATCACGTGGCTAGGTAAGAGATGCTTTAACTGGACGAATGATTTATCGTCCTATTTGTTTGACTTATAAGTCGTGTTTTTTCAGTCAGCGAACAATATTTTTCTCTTCCAATAAATCAGTCAACGGTACTTTCAGCCGTAGCTTATCATCCAAGCGAATAGGGCATATGACTACCGGACTCAAAACACCCGTACCTATAGATTGTGGAACAGGTTGGCTCTTATTAATAATTGGACATAGTGCATATTGGCAACAGTACCAATGTGCACTTCTCATCTTCATCCTCTTTCTCGTCGCTATCTCATTCTCCACAACCATCTCCCATGCAGGCCGCAGTTACGTACTACTGCGGACCGGAGATGGAGAAGACTGCAGAGAGGGGGGGGGTGGCGCAGAGGACTGTGTCGAGGTTAATGAACGGGCCCCATATGTCAGCGAGTGGGAGAGAAGAGAGTAGGACGGGGTATTTTTGTCCATACAGGCCAAAAGATATGGCAGACGTACAAAGTCGTGTATTTCAAGTTTTGGAGAAATTATAATAGCATCAACCCAGTTAGACGATAAGTATCAGTCCCTCCTTCCTAAAAAAAAATGTTATTCTCACTTCCTGAGAAGTTAAACATGTTTAGATTATATATAAAAATATTAATATTTATAATACATACTTAGTATCATTAGATAAATAGTGCAATATATTTTCATAATAAATTTCTTTAGTGATATAAATGTTGCTAATATTTTCTATAAAGATAGTCAAACTTAAGAAAGTTGGCCGGCACGCATCCCATAGCGTCATTCCTTTTGGGATGGAAGGAGTATCTCAGAAACATTAAGGCCCTGTTCGGCTGGCTGGAAAAACGGCTGATGCTGATTTATTGTAAGAGAAAAACACTGTTATTTCGTTGAAATGGTACGACTGATAAGTTCAAGAGAACATGGCCTAAATTTATAATACGTAGATCTAATTGACAACAATTTTTTTAAGAAATGTTGGTAACATTTAGAACACAGTGTCAGCTCTGCAATTTATTTCTTTGTTAGAAATCATAATAAAATTTGATATGCCACGAGGTAATACATATTTATCAAATCAGGTTGCTGATGTCTTCATCTTCATCTATCATAATGACAAGTAAGATGAAAGATATGGAAATGAAGTGGAGTTTTGTTTTCTTAGTTAGCTATAGGCAGGTTTCATGGAGATTATAGTTTTGATATACAATGTTGGTCAATCTGTCTGAAGTTCTTCAAAAGAAGTTGACGACATTATTCTGAAATTACTCAGGTGTGTCCCGTGTCCGGTACTATTTTCTTCTCGTGCTACCAGATTAGCTCCAGTAGGTGATGGCGTGATGCTGACAAAAGAAAATGACAAAGCCGAAATAATGTTGACCTTGATAAACTACATTTTTTTTTCTGACAACATCCTACTTTTCTGCAGTCACTGAAGATGGATCACTGTCTTCCATGTTCTGAGATTTTCAGCTAAAATCAGGAAGAAGCCAACAATTCTACAACAATGGGGCTAGGGTATTTCTCTCTGCTCGTAGAGAAGAGTGATGCTCATTAAATTATCACTGTCCCAACTTCATATTTCAGTGGTGTCAGCATTGAAGCTCACAATTTCACGTGGGTCAATTACTCACAAGCAAGGCCTTGTTTAGATTGACTCCAAATTCTAAGTTTTTTCACTCTTTTTTCATTACATCAATTTTTGAACACATGCATGAAGTATTAAATGTAGATAAAAAAATAACTAATTACACAGTTTGGTTATAAATCACGAGACGGATCTTTTGAGCCTAGTAATCCATGGTCAGACAAAGTTTGTCAAATACAAACGAAACGTGCTACAGTGTCTAGGTTGCAAAAATTTGCAATCTAAACAAGGCCCTAGTTACAATTGTGCTGCCTGTTAATAGAACCATGCATGCACTTTTGGTTTTGTAACTTAGGGCCTGTTCGCTTGTTGGTTTCAGCCAGCCCAAACCAGCCAGCTAACAGTATTTTTCTCTCACAAAAAACTAGCACCAGCCAGCCCAAACCAGCACCAGCCCTAACCAGCGAACAGGCCCTTAATTGGGATGAAGTCTGTACAACGGTTGTTTAAAAGGTGAACTAGTACCATTATTTATTCTTTCATTTTTATTTCACATTGCTATCTATTGTTTACCTGAAATTTCCCTCAATCTCTCCCCTGTTATTTTATTTCACATTTGTTTATCTGAAATTTACCCGCAATTTCTCCACACATTTCTAAGGCACAAACCCAGTTTACAGAAACAAATGGCTGAACATATCTGGAGCAACTAAACCATCTCGTCGCAACCATCCTGCGCACAATATATATCAACCACATTGGCAAAGTGAATTTCGGTAGTACGTAATTCATTTCAGATTACAGGCTAGAGGAGTATATGATATCCAATTAACCTTGCAGTGACCATACCAAGGTACATTTGATCGTCCTATCTGACGCAATTCCAAGTCATAGAAAGCCATACCAAGCCATGACCAGAACAGGGTGAATTCTGCAGATGAAGATGGCTCAATCTGCCATCGTCAGAAGAGAGCTCACCTCACCAGGCATCGTCCGCAGCCGCTCTGGCGTTGGTGCGCACGCGCTCGAACGCCTCGACGGGCACCGTGAGCGTCCCGGCGCGCGCGTGCCACCGGGCGCCGTGCCGCGCCACCTTGCCCGACACGTCCTCGACGGCCTTGAGGAACTCCTTGGCCTGCGCCGGCGCGAGCACCTCCCTGGCGGCGGCCTCCACGGCGCGCCACCGCAGCTTGTCGGCCCTGCGCGCGGCGCGCGCCATCTTGCACATCTCCTCGGCGGCCGTCTCCGCGACGCGGTCCTTGGTCTTCTCGCACGCCAGCTTCATGGCGTAGGTGGACTGGTACTCGGCCACCTCGCCGTCCAGCGCGGCCTCGCGGGCGCTCAGGCGCCGGGCCGCGGCGGAGAGCGCGTGGCGGGCGTGCACGGGGAGGGACGGGAACAGCGCGGGCAGCAGGGCCAGGAGCATACAGGACGGGCGGAGGTCCCCGCCGTGCCAGGAGAGCGCGGACACGGCGAGCGGCGGGTCGTCGGGGCGCGCCACCAGGCCGGGGACGTCGCGGGGGCGGACGGGCGGGCCGGCGGCCAGGCGGGAGTAGCGCTCGCGGAGGCGGCCGAGGTCGGCGGCGATGTCCATGGCGGCCGCGTTGTCGCTGTCGCTTGAGTCCGACGACAGGAGGCGGCGGTGCGCCGTGGGGTCGGAGGCGCCGGGGGCTGACAGCCATGGGAAAGCAAGATGGTAGAGAATCAAACAGCAAGACCACGGGGATTGGTTTGAGGCCAAGAATCGGTGGAAAATTAAGAACACCGAGAACGCAGTGATTGAAGCCAAGCAATAAGAATGATTACGTACAGCAGGGGATGAAGCAGGGGAGGCAGGAGAGGAAGCCCTTCTCCTTCTTCTCCTCCTTCTTGGCGCTCTTGCCCGCGCCGCCGCTGCGGTGGTACCCGGCGTCGTAGCCGAAGTAGAAGTCGTCCGCGTCTTCGCCACCCAGGGGGCTCAAGAACGGCATTGCGGCGTTGCGGCGGTGGACACGCCCAGCCCTGCTCTTCTCGAGCGCAGAGAGGGATGTGCTGGACTCCCGGTGGACGGCGCCCACGGCCAGGGGTGACGGGACGAGAGGAGGTGCGATGGCACAGAAGAGGATCTCACCGGATCTTTTGTTCCTTCTCCTTTATAGGCTACAGGAGATTACCAATATCATCTCCTTTGTTCTACTAAATTGGGAGCACAATTGTATCCATGTTTAGGTCTCTGTATACAATAAAAAGTATATATACATTAGAGTGCATCTAGCGCTCTCTAATAACATTCTTTACATACAATCTATGTCATTGATTATTGGCTACTCCCGATATGTCAAACTCAAGGCATATTTAGGGGTGTTTGATTTCCTCTATTAAATTTTAGTCTCTATCATATCGAATGTTTGACACTAATTTAGAGTATTAAATGTAGATTAATTACAGAACTAATTACATAGATTGAGACTAATTTACGAGACGAATCTATTAAATCTAATTAAACTCATATTTAATCTTTCTAATTAGTATCCAACTACCCAAAACTTTAGTCCATGGATCGTACACTTTACATGCCACAGCCTGCCACGTCCTATGTGTCGTGTGCGGTGGTGCTGGGATGTGGTGCCAAAACCAACGCCACACTACGTACTCTCTTTTTTCTTGAATTTCTCAGCTTTTTCATCAACCAAGCATGAGCCAGCCTTCATTTTTGTGGCGTCGCCACTAGTTGTGGCAAGGCAAATGGTAGCGTAGAACCAAACAACCCCTAGTGACGCCAAAGACCACTGTCGTAGCATCAACCTCTCCTGTTTTCCGTTCTTTTTGCCAATAGCGGTAGCAGTAGCGGGATAGCCGGTAACAGGAGCGAGTGGAATATACGGATATTCGAAAACGGGTTAATACAGGCGGAAAGAGTGAATAAATATTTTGCCAAAAGAGTGAATAAATAAATAACACACCTCAGAAAATCACGAATAGCATCTCCTCGAGCCTTTCTAAATCTCACACTCTAAATCATCATTTAGAGAGTCATTTGCATAAAAATCATTTTCTATATCTTTTCACTCTCCAACAGTTTTTCTATATCTCGTGGGCGCTCTCAAGAGCTATTCGCGTCTTCTATTTTTGGCTTGCAAAAAATTCATAATAGAAAATAGCTATATTTAGATAACCATTTAGAAAAGCTATCGCAGAGTATTTTTTTTTACTAAAATCTCTATTCCTAACCTTTAGGAAGGATACGTAGAGTCTCTTAGAGCTGCTCTGATCTGCTCATCAGCTACCTTACTGTTCTTACGTGTGCTGCTCATACTAGGCACCTCAGCGCATGTTCCTGTGTGCTGTACGCATATGCTGGCATGCTGCATAGCTGCATGCCACATGGGCCATGGCCACACACCAGCAAGTAATGCGTTTTTTTTAAACGCAGCAAGGAATTTTTTTCATATCAAACAGCAAGGAAAAGTTAGCGCTAGCAATAGCAGGCTTCCTACGGGTACAGGATACGGAAATAAAAAAAGGGGTACAGGATATGGAAGTTAGATGGGCCGAAACCGAACTAGGCCTCATGTTTACCGGCTAGCAGGTTATCCGGATAAGCCGTAAACGGGATGAATGTAGTATTATTCTAGTCTAAATATTCGCAAAAAAAATATGGACGAAAAAACCGTCATCCTGTTTCTAGTTCCGATCCTGGCTGATCCCGTCCTGCTTCCCATCCTGTTAATCGCCCTGTTCGTTTGAACTGCTTATCAGTAATGGTACGGTATTTTTCTCCCACAATAAAATAACACCAGCCGACTTATCAGCCACAGAAATCATCAGTCGAATAGGTTCAATATATTTTTCCACAAATACGAAAACGATCGGGACAAAAGTGGTAAACGGTGCCCGTCCGTTTTCATTCTTACCTAGAACCGACAGAAAAACTGTACGAAGGGATTAAAAAAAGATCATATAAGCACTAGCTTTTGTGAAACATTTACTGATTACTAGTATTTAACTATATTTTGCTGGTTTGGTACGCGGTTTTAACATTAAGGCCTCGATGAATGAGGTCTAATCCACGCCACCCGTGGATCAAGATCCACGCCGGGGCCAAGTTCCCCTCTCGGTGGAAAAGCTCATTTGGCTGTCCATGTATCATCGTCACTCTACCATAGCCCAAAATTAAAGTCGCAAGGGTGTCGTTAAAAGTACTGAAATAGCGTTGGAAGGTCGGACGTTAAAGATTAGTAACATTCGGTCAGTCGTTATATCAGGTTTTTGCAATAGACAGTCGGTCGTTATTGTTATTTTGCTTTACTGTTAGACGGTCTGTCGTTGTATCCTAGTTTTAGCGACCAACAAATTGTTGGCACATAAGATTGGGCTCATGCGCCCTCAACTGGTCTAATTCTTGCCTAATATTTTGGTGGCCCACTAGTCAGACCAAACCCTAGAGCCAATTTCTTCCGAACCCAAACCTTATCCCCTCCGGTCTCCAACACTCGCCACTCCCCTCACCCCCACGTGAGTGGTGACTGGCTCGCCGCCGCCGCCGCTCCTCCTGCTCCTCCCCAAAGATCCCGTCCCGCCACCATCGTCATAGCGAAGGACACGAGGAGTGCCCCCCATCTCGTAACCCTAAGCCACTGCTCTCCTCACCATTGAAATGATCTAAACAATACCTAGAGGGGGGTGAATAGGCATATCTAAAAATTTCTACGTAATCTCAAAGTCAAATGTCAGTGACAGTCAGAAGTCCCGATAGTTTGGCCCGGAACTTCCAGCAGTCGGAAGTTTCGACACAAACAGCCGGGAGTCCGGCACCTACGAGAATTTCACTACAAGTGCTAAAATGAATTTTGAGTGCGTGATATCTTACAACCCCACTTTCTGGTGACAAGATGAAGTGTTGGGGCTGCTCCTTTGACGCCGGAAGGACACCACTCCGTAGATCTGTAACACCCTCGGTGTTACCGCTTAAACAACTTGCTAAACTATGTCATGAACATCATGTGTTTTGTGATAATGCATCTGATAAAGTGTGTAGATCAATTTCCATAACTCAAAATGATCAATAAAAAAGCTAAATGAAAGTTGATTCGATAGTTCATGCATATCAAGTAGGGTTTGAAACTAATTTTTATTGAACAAAAAAACTATAGAACATGTATGTAACACTTAAATAAAGTTTGAAGTGCAAACTTTGTGGATGACAATGAAATACTTACTGTAGAAAAATCATGTCACTAGCTGGTATTCCTAATAGCCTAGAAACGGAACTTGAAAACAAATCCAGCTCAAAAACTTAGAAATTTTTAAGTCTGCCAACAGCTAGACATTGCTATGTTTAGTAATTTATTGTGAGAGATTATGATAAAGGGTGGTGTAGTGTTATAGCTCGATTTGCTAGTCTCATATGCCATCTTGAGTATGGTGAAGCTAGTTTGGCTCCTAGAGCAACCGTTTGGTCGTGTTGAGCGCTTTAAAATTCGTGCGCATCACATGTCTCGGGCTGGTTGGCCACATGGCCGCGATCACCGCGCTCGGGCGTTCAGCGTCACCGCGTTGGTTGCGCATGCATGCGCTGCTACGCGCGGTCGGCCGTGGCTGCCTCTGGCCTGGCTATGGCTCGGCTGCCTCTAGCCCCGCCGCGCCATGACGAAGCCACTACCGGCGCTATCACCTCACCGTCGCGTCCGCCACTCCTGCCTCACTGCGCTGTCGACCCGCCTCGCGCTGCGGCACTGCCGCTGCTATCACATCATTGTCGCGTCCGCGCCTGTCCGCTGCATCTCTGCTCTGTTGCCGGCCCAGTGCGTGTCGCCTCTGCCATGCGCACGTGGTCGGGCTCGTTGTTGCCTTGTCATTAATGACACTACGGCTGCACGGGCCACCCCAGTCGGGCACACGCGCGCCTGTTGGCTAGCACCAATGCATGGGTCTCTCGGTCTCGCAGCTCGTGTCCCGCCAAGGTGAGGACGAGCCGAGCCCACCTGCCGTGTCCCATCTCTCTCTTTCTCTCTTTCTTCCTCTACTTTCTGCTGTCGTCGAGTCACAGTCACGGCGAGTCAGAGAGCGAGCACCTCTCATCAATTTCTCGTGCCCGCGTCTCTGCCTTTACATCCTCTTGCCGACCACGCCCACCCTGCCTTGATTATGGCCAGGCCGAGCGTCAATTTTGGAGCTTTGCTCCCATCGCCATGCCATTAAGGCCTAGCCTGCCTCTTCGTGGACAGCTCCAACCTCGCCATCTCGCGTTGAATTGACCACACCACTAGCCTCGCCTAGAACCCCTCTTCGTCGTGCGTACGCTAGTCGCAGCCCTAGTGCCGCCTCCACGCCGCTGACATGGTCGTGTCGCTGTGGTTCGCCATCGAGCTCACTGTGCGCACGCAGACATACTTGCTCGGGGCGTCTCTGACTAGGACACCACCACGGGTAGGATCATGGTGCGTCACTGATGCTTACCCATCACCTCTATTATCTGTTGTACACTATGGCTCACTAGAACGTGGTTGTCGCTGCTGCAGGTCACCACCGTCGGGGAGAGCCCGCTCTGCTTCACCCCCGTTCGTGCAACAACCACCCATCGTCGCGCGTCGGCCCATAGGTGAGCATCGGTCCCCTAGCTAGGTCTGCAAGGGTCTCGGGTGGCCGGCGTGCCGCCTAGTGCCATCGCCCGCTGTGCCGACAAGCGCAGGGTGTCTCGGGGACCACTCCGATGCGAAGGTGATAAGATACGAGGGCTCCGTTGCAAAGTCGATGTCTATAGAAATAGTATGTGTAGTGTTCACGCTATTGTCTGATAACACGGGGGCGTTTTTACAAGAGTGCCAGCACGCACGGGCTCCCCACCGCAGGCTACCTCCGCGTGTGGGCCGCGCCCCACGTGGGACGCGTTGGACTAAAATCGGTTTATCTTTTTCGTGAAAATAGAAATAGCTTTTCATTTTAATTCTGAGCTGAACTTTGGTAATTAATATAAAATAATATAGATAAC